AAAGTTTAACCCTTAACACCTTACCAAACCTTAAGCCAATCTTTTCATAACCTTTATCCCTTAAGCTAACAATAGACCACTTCCACTGCTAGAGGTAGATCACTATTAGTGGCATTGCTGACTGCCAGCATGGTCAGCAGTTCTTGTAATCAAACATAACCAACTGATATGAGACATTCTGTATATCATTATTAGAGTAACTTTAATATAGGCAGTTTGTATTATTCTAGGTTTCAGCAGTTTTAAACTGTTAGGGTTCCCGTGTCTTGTCATGTTTTAGTTTTTGTGGTGATAAAGTACAGCCTTTTATTTATAACTTTGATTTAGTTTTAGATTAGTTCAAATGTTTAGACTCTTTGGATGTTCACTACAAACTACTTATTTTTGGTAGATGCTAGCAAGTTAAAGGTAGAGTTAAGCCTCCTAAAAATGTATTATATATTTTCTGGACTATATTAGTGAGATCTCTGCACTTGAGGGGGAGAACATTCAAACTCCTAAGTGGTTTGGGGTAACCCAGAGGAACCTTTCAGAAATCAGCCATCAATTTGGCTGACTACTCTGACAACTCAGCCAAAAGCTGTTTTCTAATTTGTTGTGGATTGTTGCACTCTAGTGCTTTTTTATATCTGTTTCAAACAAGCTTAAAGAAGTATTTATGAAACTGCAGAAGAAAAAAAAAAACAGTGCCCTCTACGTTCACCAGCTTTTTATGTTTTATATATTCTGTTTCTGTTGTGGGAGAAAATGTTTATTTTCAATTATATTTAATATTTTACTTTTATATAATTTTTTATATACACTTTTATTGATTTATATTCAACTGTTTTTCCACAGATCACAATAATCTTCAAGAACTTCCAAGAGTGTGTGGACCAGAAGGTCTACCAAGCTGAAATGGATGAGCTTCCTGCAGCTTTTATAGATGGTTCAAAGAATGGTGGAGATAAAAGTGGAGCTAACAGCTTGAAAATTATTGAGAAGGTTGCTGGGCAGCACATAGAGATTCAAGCCAAATACATTGGTACTACCATAGTGGTTCGACAAGTTGGTCGCTATTTAACCTTTGCAGTGCGCATGCCTGAGGAGGTTGTGAATGCAGTTGAGGACAAAGAAAATCAGGGCCTTTACCTGTGTCTACAGGGCTGCCCTCAGAACCAGCAAATTGACTTCCGAACCTTTCACTCGCAAACCCCAGAGACTGGCTTGAAGAGGCAAGGACCATCATTTACCCCTCAGATGGCAGGAGCCAAGTGTAAGGAGAAGCTTCCAGTGGAGGACCTCTACTTTCAGTCCTGTGTGTTTGACCTTCTTACTACGGGAGATGTGAATTTCACTCTGGCTGCTTATTATGCCTTTGAGGATGTAAAGTTATTACACTCCAATAAGGACAAAATTCATCTGTATGAAAGGACCACAGACTTGGGGCTGGGCAATTCTGCTCCTCAGATAGGCCTAGGTATGGCCAAGCTTCTTGTGGCATTAGTGTGTTTTGTTTCAGTGTTGCTGTAAAGTCATGTTTACCGTCTAAGTCTTTTCACATTTGTGGGATGATTGCAGAGGTGCAAGCCTAGTTACTCAAGGTGTATTTGTCTCTGTGAAAGCACAAGTTCTAACACCTGTACGAATAATTTATTAAAAGTGTTCAACAACTTGCTAAAGGTACACCTAAATACTTTTAACACCAAGGAGATAACAAAACTTGCTTCAGAAGATCTACCGCTTCTGAGTTTGCTCTAATGAGAGACATCTGCCACTGATCCAAAGTGTAAACACCATTTGATGACTCTCATAGAGTAGTTGTCTTTAAACATGTTTCTTCTTAATTCTTTAGGCTATGGACTCTAGGAGAGATATACTGAGAGCCTTTAACCTTGCTTATGCATCTCTGATACAAAGTAATCATAGATAATGCACAGATCTCACTTATCTGTCAAATCTGCCTGGTGGAGCATTCATGCACCATACCTCATGTGTTCAATCAACATTTTGATGTCATGGAGGGAAAAAGTATATTCCCCTCTGGTTTACTTGTGGTACTGCAAGTATCATGGTGGCTGTGAAAAATAGCGTTTTGTGAATGTGGCTTTTGTGATCCATAATAAGCTGTAAATGCATGAACAATTTAGGGGTGCTCAGTCAGTATCGGATGACATAATAACAGTAGCACATATGGAAACGTGCTTCTCATGTCTATTGTACAAGTAGCCATATTTAGCATTGATCAAAACACTTAGCCCTGCAGAAGAATAGGTAAAGACCAAGAGAGATTTTGCAGCACTGACATGTTAACCCTATTTTAACATAATATTTTATTACATAATGATCTTTCTTATGTTACATAGGACCTAGTGGACCTTATGTTTGAAGGAAGACCTGTTGATCTTGCCCCAGCAACCAATTTAGTCTTTATTTGGCTAATGTTAGTCTCTAGTTTATGAAAGAGAGAATCTGGTTCTTATGGACTACATCTTTTTTTTTTTTCTCCATATAAGCCCAATTTAAAGCTTCAGTGAAATCATTGAGTTTATGTTATGACTGAAATCTTGTTGACGTGTTAGTTTTTAAAACTAGAATACATAAAACCTTTGAGACGTTTGGGTTAACATTTCACTATGTCAGCTGTCACCATTATAGGTGCACTTTTATGGGCGTATTGGTCAAGGTGCATGCTTTTCCCTTAGCTGCAGATGCTGCATTCTGATAAGAACTCGGAAGAACTGAACAAAAGTTGCTGCCATCACCCGTCTCAGGGTTGGTGCTACGAGCACACAGCTTACCGTGGTGAGAGAAGCAGAGCTCATCAGCTTGTTATACTATGGTTATAAATCCCAGAATGTTCTGCAGAACAGTCTGGTCTTTAAATCTGTCATCATAGTACACACCATTTACTGGTATGACACTGATTACTAAAGCAGAAGTAAAGTGTAAATATATACCTATAGCAGTCAGATGTAATGCAAACAAAAAAATGCAACTCGTGTTGGATGTAATTTATGTTGTCTATAATATGTGGAGAGTTTGTGTTTTTTTAATAGCATCACTGTACATAGAGATGTAATGTGTTCAGTGTGTGTAAAAAGAAAAAAAAAAAAAGCTAGATGTGGAAACTACTTTATTCCCATTAGAATGAATTTTGACCTTCATGATGTACTGTGTAAACTGTAGAACTCTCATGGGAAAATATGGAAATTCTAGTAATCGTATTCAGAAAATGTTATGGCAGCTGTGACTTGGTATGTACCAGTGCCATTTCACACACCTCCTGCCCCAATCCAGTGGACTGCACCAACATTCCTGTCAGTTTACTACATTATCACAGAGACATTCAGCTTGTCTGTTAGAATACTACATACATTAGTAATGTATGTAGTATTCTAACAGACAAGCTGAATTCTAAGGAACCTTGGTTCAGACCACACAATATCTCCTTCTAATAGTGTGCCAGAGGACAGGATGGCCTTTTAGCTGTCAGTATTTTGCTGTTATTTTGGGTTCCAAACCAATTTCAGCAGTCACATTTTTATATTTCACCAGCAGCAGCCTCACTCTGAAAACTCATCCAAAGATACATTTTATCTATTCCAGCGCTCATAAATCTTGTTTGAACAGAGCTAGCTTCACCAAATGGTTTATGTAACCCATGGCACACTCCTAGAATCTACTAAATTCTGTTGGGAGTATAAGCCAAAGGTTCCTATGGTAAATGCACAATTTGCAAAATTTGGGCACTTGCAAGAAGAAAGATGTCCTATGGCTTTTCATTTATCAGTAGCTAGATATTCACATGAACATTGGTGTACATACACCCTGTAGGGTACAATAAACACAACTCTCTGCTCATGCCGAGGCCCATTAAGAACTTGGTGAAAGACCAAAGAGGAAAGCCCTTCCTGACTTTGGTAATCTCTGGGCTCCATTAGTTTATAACATACGTTTATAGACTAATAACTGGCACTGCTAAATGGAACCATGTCTGCTCTTGCAATGCTCCCGTCAAAGGTCTCCAGTAATATTGGAGACCTATTTGTTGCTGGAGCTGCAGTGCGTCACATTTTACAGTTGTTTTAGAACTGTATTTCCCATAATGTTATTCCAGCACTTTGTTCTCCAAATTGCTTATACGTAGTTCGTAGTCTTCACAAAATTGGGGGTTTCATGAAGTCGTTGCTGAGTACGCTGTACTATTTCCTGCTACATGCCAGTGTTTAGCACAGCTGTGTTTCTCCAGCCATGAGCAAACATTGGAGTGTCCATCCTTTGAACATTGCGTACTATCTAGTATAGTTCCAATACCCTGTCTACTTTGCAGTGTAACTTTATGGGTTGAGAAGGAGGTAATTGCTGTTGTATCAATGTTTAGAAATAAGTGAAGCACTTTATTGTGGTTGTGTTTAAAAAATAAATAAATAAAAACCTTCTCGTTAAATGATGCCAAGATAGACCCATCAAATATAGAAGTAATTTACTTTACAGCAAAAGGGAAAAAGAAAGCAAACCTGTTTTTACTTATCTTCATACACATTGACTCATGTAGATAATGTAAATTATTTATTGAAAAATTGCAAGTAAAGGTTTTTATCATTGAATCTGAGTTGCTCATTATTAAAAAAAACAAAACAGAAAAAGCTCAAATCTGACATTGACCAATTATGCTTTGCTTTTGTTACTTCACACTGTGCAGATACATACTCAATGACACAAATAAAGTAAATTGTTTTACAGAATGGAAATAGGGAGAAGAGACTGTGGTCAGAAAAAGAAAAATATACTGTATATAGAGAGGGACAGACATACACAGGGGGAATTTATTCACATAGTTAAAAGTGTTTGATCTCACATATGGTCACATGGGATATATTTGATGCGCTTTGCGCCAGATTTATGTTGCTAGTGTAATGTCTGTTCATAAATTAGATTAAATAGACTCCAGGAAAGAAGACTCTTAACTACAGGTAAGAAGCTTAACTGTCACTTCCTGAAGTGGTCATGGGGACTCCTTAGTTACATAGTATTTGAGGTTGAATAAAGACATAAGTCCATCAAGTCCAACCTATTGCGTGTATGCATTTATGTTTGAGCAGGCGTGCGTGTGTATTAGTCCATGTGTGATCTTGTTCTTTGGCGTACCTGTACCCCTGTATATATGGTCTCCGAGGAACTCGTCCAGGAGTTTCTTGAATGCTTCCACACTCTTAGCTGAAATCACTTCCTGTGGCAGCGAGTTCCAGACCTTAACCGCTCTAACTGTGAAGAACCCCTTGCGCCCTGTGTGTTGGAAAACAATTTCCACCAATTTGTGGTTGTGCCCTCTGGTCTTTGTTACAAAGCTAACCGTAAACAGTTTGTTAACAATATTGATGTCACCATTGAACAGTTTATACAGAAAAATCATGTCCTCCCTTAATCTCCTAACCTCCAACGAGAACATATTTAATTTTAACAACCTTGTTTTATAGTTCAGGTCCTCGAAACCCTTAATGAGTTTGGTTGCCCTCCTCTTGACTTTTTCCAGGTCAAGGACATCTTTTCTGAGTATCAGTGACCAAAACTGGACCACATACTCCAGATGTGGCCGAACCAGTGATCTGTAAAGTGGCAAAATTATAGACTTGTCCCTGCAATACATTCCCTTCTTAATACAGGACTCTGCTTGCTTTGTTTACAGCAGCCTGGCACTGCGCGCTGTTCTTTAGTCTGCGGTCTATGATGACTCCCAAATCCTTCTCAGTTTCAGACTTCCCTAGTTGCACACCCATAAGTGTATAGTCCATTTGCCTATTTTTAACTCCAAACTGCATTACCTTGCATTTATCGACATTGAACTTCATCTGCCATACAGTTGCCCACTCCCCGAGTTTATCCAGGTCCTCCTGTAATGTTATAACATCTAAATCCGTGTCTATTACCCTCCCAATTTTCGTATCATCAGCAAACACGGAGACACTATTCCTACTATATCGTAGTCCTCCTCGAGTAACAAAACTTCAAGGTCTTCTATTTTATTTGCTAGACTTCTAGCATTGGTAAACATGCATTTAATTTTTTTACTTTTACTAGTTAAACGTTTGCTCACCTCCTTGCTCCCCACTACTAGTTTTAATTGTACCTGTTATGGTTAGTCCATTCCTACTTGGATCACCTTGGGGCAATTAGATTTACTTTATTGCCTAGATTTAATATGTTCTCTATATTGGCTTGATTTACTACTTTGACTATATTCTCTATCTTTGCTTTATTTACCAGTTTGACTTCCCCCCAGAAATGCTGCACCTTCCCCATTAAGATTCAGCCCATCTCGGCTGAAGAGCCGGTAACCAATTGAGAAGTCGGCCCAGTTCTCTAGGAAACCAAAGCCCTCATTCCGACACCAGTTCCAGAGCCACTTGTTAAGTTGGGATTGTTTTGTTAGGTGATGTGCCAGTTTCAGACAGCTGCATGACAAACGCAGATGTAAACAGTTGCAAACTGACCCAAAACACTCGCATCAGAAAAATGGGACATGTTAATAGGAGCTGGGAAACATATTTGCGCTCTAAAAAAAGTAATCCAAAGGGGATAAAACAGTCGCAATTGTGTTAATAAATTCCCCCCGTGACCTTTGAGCCCCAACACTAAATGTCTTCTGTGACCAGCTACAGGTATCTCCTCAAGTATTGCATCTACACTTGGAATGTTACACATCTGATATATTCATTAGTGAAGTGAATAGATAATGAGGGGACTTTATTAAGTCTGGAGCAGACAAAATCTGGAGCAGCTGTGCATGGCAACCAATCAGCTTGTCTCTCAGTTTGTTCAGTTAAGAATTGAATATGAAAGAGAAAGGCTGATTGGTTGCCCTGCACAGCTGCTCCAGATTTTGTCTGCTCCAGTTTTGATAAATTCCCCTCAATGTCTTCATATAAGGGAGTTGTCCCTGATGGTTTTGTGGAAGGAGCCAATGGGTTGTACTAGGACAGTGATGACGAACCTTTTTGAACCCGAGTGCCCAAACTGCGACGCAAAATCAATTTATTTACCTCAAAGTGCCAGCGCTGAAAATAAGTTTAGTACTGTATTGCAGTTCGGGCGCTCGGGTTTAAGAAACGTTCAACATCACTGCCTAAGGTCTCGTTCACACCTAGGCGTATTGCATATGCGCGTCTGTCGCGCGTTTTTTTACCGCGATTTGCGGTAAAAAAGTCGCGCGACTGCCGCGCGTTTCCGAAGGCTGCTTGGCTGTATCCCAATGGAAATGCGCAACAAAACAGCCCAAAGTAGTACCTGTACCTTTTCAGGCGTGGGCCGTTTTGTAGCGCGTTAGGGA